GACACCACTTTTGAATTCAGCAAGTCAGTCAAAGAGAAAGTACACAGAAATAAAAGGAATGAACAAAGCCTACAGGACACTGCAGACCAGCCCTTTCAGCTGTGGTTATGAACTACTACTTCATCAGTTACAGGAAGCAAAGGATATACATAGAAAGATATGTACTAGCCATTGGGTCTTCTCAGCAAATTCTCTAAGTGCCCAGGCCAACATTTCAGTAGCAGCCAGGACACATGTCAAAGGCTTGAAACCTCAACCTCATGTTCCAAAAGCTCCTAGTGATACCTCACAGTCCATTAAAGTAAGATTCCTTGGGAACCCTGCAGGTGTCCTGATTGAAAAGCTTAGAGATGCCTCAGTTAGTAACCCACACCACATAATATCTCCCTAACTCAAATATTATTATCTTAAAATCTTCAGTGAGGTTTTAAGGGAAGCTTAAAGACTGATCACAGCCTCATTTAACTAAAGGATAAAAAAGAAACAGCATAATATACAAACCCCCAAGGGAAAGGAGACTACATTTGAAACACCAAAGATGTTTTTGTAGGGCTATAAACGAATGTCTGAAGAGCTTATACGGTTTACAGAGTGGTGAACCCGTATTTGGTTACTGGGAAGGTTAAGACCAGAGCATGCTAATTTGGGAGTGACCCAGAGGTCCTGTGCAAAAGTACTACTTCCTAAGCACTCACCTGGCCTTGCATGTTCATGATGACAACTGTGTTTGATCTGTTACACACCACAAAGTGCTCTGGGTTTTTAGGAAGCAGGATCACACTGTTGACCGTAATGTCTGTTCCAGCAGTGCTGCCCAGGGATTTAAAGGTATTTGAACATTCTGTGGTCTTCATATTCCAGATCTATCAGACAAAAATTTAAGGCATAAATATTTGGGGGGTATAATAATTTCTAGTTTTAATGTTTAAAAAATTAAAAACCAGGCTACTAAAAAAAAGAGTAAAATTGGCCAGCTGCTGTGGTTCATGCCTGTAATCCCAGCACTCTTGAGAGGCCAAGGTAGGTGGGTTGCTTGAGCTTAGGAGTTCAAGATCAGCCTGAGCAAGAGCATGGCCCCATCTCTATTAAAAAACCAATAGAAAAAAATCTAGCTAGGTATAGTGGCACATGCTTGTGTCCTAGCTACTTGGAAGGCTAAGACAAGAGGACTAAGCCCAAGAGTTTGAGGTTGCTGGTTGGCGCCTGTGGCTCAAGTGCCTAAGGCGCCAGCCACGTACACCCAAGGTGGCAGGTTCGAATCCAGCCTGGGCCCGCCAAACAACGACGGCTGCAACCAAAAAATAGTCGGGCGTTGTGGCGGGTGCCTGTGGTCCCAGCTACTTGGGAGGCTGAGGCAGGAGACTCGCTTGAGCCCAGGAGTTGGAGGTTGCTGTGAGCTGAAATGCCATGGCACTCTACCTAGGGGGACAGCTTGAGGCTCCTGTCTCAAAAAAAAAAAAAGTTTGAGGTTGCTGTGAGTGAGCTATGACATCATTGCACTCTACCGAGTGCAACTTTGCCTCAAAAAAAAAAAAAAAAGAGTAAAATTGACTGAGAAACAAGCTTCCTAACTTGATTTTAAGTCCAATCAAATACCCAGTATTGTTATATACAGTGTTCCCTTGCCATCCTTGGGGAACAGGGTCCAGGACCACAATTGAAGATGCTCAAGTCTCTGATACAGAATGGTATAGAATATTGGCATATACATCCTCCTTCACACTTTAAATCATCTCTAGAGTACTTATAATACCCAATACAATACATAGCACTTCATTGTGTGGATTCCATGTAGTACTCAGTGCAGGGCAAATTCTAGTTTGCTTCTTGGAATTCTGTGGATTTTTTTTTTTCTGGATATTTTCTTTTTCTTCTTCTTCTTTTTTTTTTTTGTAAGACAGAGTCTCTGTCACTCTGGGTGGAGTCTTGTGGCATCGTAATAGCTCAGAACAACCTCAAACTCTTGAGCTCAAGCTATCCTCTTGCCTCAGCCACAGAATATTACTATTGTCTCAGACTCTCCTCACTTACAGATAAATTGCTAGTTGAGTGGTTTATTCCACCACAATCATTCCATTAACAGGACTGAAAAATTCTCAAGGTCAAAGACAGAACAGACATACAAATATAAATGGGAAGGAAATACTTAACCTTCACAGTGCCATCAGAGGATGCGCTAATAATATAATGTCCATCTTGTGTAAATGTTGCTTCATTAACAAAGGATGAATGGCCACGAAATTCCTTCAGGGTTTTTCCAGATTTTAAACCATGAATTCTACCATTAATAAAAAGCAAATGAAAAGAACAATTAATATTTGATATATTATGCTTAGAACCAAGTACTGACTGCATTTTAGATAAATTATAGAAGCTCATATTATAGTATAAGCTAAATAAAGAAAGCTATGTGATTGTGTGTGTAGTATAATTTTCATTATCTCAAACAATGAAATAAAACAAAAACTTTGCAAAGAAAAATTGGAAAGGCCAGGAGTGATGGCTCACGCCTTTAATATTAGCACTCTGGGAGGCAAAGGTGCGTAGATCCCTTGAGCTCATGCATTCAAGACCAGCTTGAGCAAGAATAAGACCACATCTCTACAAATAGCTGGCCATCGTAGTATGCATGTATAGTTCCAGCTACCAGGGAGACTGAGGCAAAAGGATCTCTTAAGCACAAGAGTTTAAGGTTCTCATGAGCTATGATATCACAGCACTCC